TGATCGTTGGGGACATTTACTTCAAACATTTGAACAGGAATGGCTATCACCTGCAAACTCACAACAATATGCCGAGACAATTCACAACCATGGTGCACCTTTACCAAATTGCTGGGGATTCGTAGATGGCACTGTAAGAAGAGTGTGCCGACCAGGTCAACACCAAAGAGTATTATATAATGGCCACAAAAAGGTACATGCTATAAAATTTTAATCTATTGTAGCACCTAATGGAATGTGTGCTAATCTGTATGGCCCTGTTGAAGGAAGGCGCTATGATAGCACCATGTTTGCAAGATCAGGAATATTAGAATCGCTTCAGCAACATTCAAGGGCACCGGATGGTTCTATTCTTTGTATTTATGGTCATCCCGCGTGCCCCATACGTTTGCAGCTCCAAGCACCATTCAGAGGAGCACAAGTGAATGAACAACAGAAGAACTGGAACGAGGCTATGAGTGCTGTTCGGTGTTCTTTGGAGTGGGTTTTTGGGGATATCCTAAACTATTTTAAGTTTTTGGACTTCCACAAAAATTTGAAGATCCAATTAAGTGCTGTAGGAAAAATGTACATTGTGTGTGTTCTACTACAAAATTCAAGGTCCTGTTTCTATGGCTCAACCACTTCTGACTACTTTCAGTGTCCTCCACCATTAATTCAAGAATATGTTAGCTGAAGTTTTTAAAGTTGTTTTTATAAGAGAACTATAAATATATTTAAGTAGTTTAAATCATTAAGCTCCATAGCTATTAACAAGTGAAATAGGGTGGCATTTGTAAAAAAAATAAGTAGGATACACTGCTTGGGTGCATTGCAGCTTAATGGATCAATAAGTAATTATCTGTCCTAATGATATCACACATTTTGTCTAATTTATATGTCAACTGATTTCAATTTGTTCCATCAGGGCATACTTTTAAATATATATTGATGCCCATTAACCTACCCCCCCCCCCTTCCCCTTCCTCCTCCAAGCTCCTTTGGTCTGTCACTCAAAATGAATTGCCACCACTCCCTGGGCAATTTTAAAAGATTACTCTATTTGTAAACTGTTACATTGTACATTGGGTGTATATAAAATGACTTTTTGGCCTGTACTTATTAAATATTAATTTGCTTGAAAGCATGACTTTTATAGTATTTGAATTATTTAAAATTACATTCCCAAATGAAGGAATATAATGGCATGATAAAGATAAATAAGTTGAAAACACTTCAAAATTGAGGTAGCAAATAAGTATTCAAATGTGAACATTTAACAAAGTTGTTTTTAAAAGCTCTACACAACAACAAAAATATATAGTCAGACATACAATTGCTTGTACATGCTACTTTTGTTCATTCTGTTTTGTTAAAAATTGTATCAAAGAAAGGTTAACTTGTTGCTGTTGCTGCAGTAAAGCTTGGTTTTGTTCATTTTGTTGCATAATAAGTTGGTATAGTCTCTCTGATTCTGCCTTTTTCTCCTCAAGCTCTGCTTTTTTAAGTTCCAACTCTTGCTGTCGTACATGCATTTCTTTCTCACTTTTTTTTCTCAAATAATTTATTGTGTCTTCAGGCCTCCTTCGTTTTGGGGTTGTTTCTTCTCTGTCGCTACCTTTCCTTCTGGATGCTTCTCCTATAGTTTCAAGAGATTGCAACCGCAGTTCCTCTGCTTGCTGCATTTCATTAATCATTGTCTCTTTTTGCTTTTCCTTTTTCAGATGCTGTGCCAAATCACTGTCCTTGAACAATTCAAAAAATTCCACCCAAGCCTTTTCCCATCTCCGTCTCTTCCTCTGGTGCAATCCCTGATGCTCGTTCCATTTCATTTTTTTTTTTAATATATTTTTTTCTCCAACAATTTAAATCTATCTCTGATAGATCTGTCTTCAACCTTAAATGATGGGTCTACAATTTGATTTAGGCTTTCGATTCGGCAATATTTTCCCAACAATTCCTCCCTCGGGCGAACCTTTCTTGAAATTCCATTGCTCGAACATAAGGATCTCACGAATAAACAGGTCATCATGGCTTGTTTTCCAGCACATAGGTTTACTATTTTATATAAAAAGTAATAAAAAATGAAAAATGTATTAAAACGAAGTTTGTCTGTCTGTATAAAACCTAAACCAGCCAGCAAATGATAGTTACTATAGTTGCAACCATTACAGAGTGAGGAAACCTCTATAAAAATCTCCTGCATCGGAGAAAAGGTTAGTTTAATAGGTCGCTAGCAATATAAGTTCGATAAAAGGCTTCTGTTGAAACGTTGTATGAATCCACGTTGTATGAATCCCACGATGAATCCAAATACTTTTTCTCGTGTAAACGATGTTGAGGTGTAAGGACAGATCAAAATAAACACACACATACCTTTTTTGTTTCTCTTGAGCAGCCATGTGTTGTGAGTTTTGTCTATTTGATCTCGCGTTTTAGCTGCGACGTGAGGTTTGTCTATTTCACGTCGGTCGCGTGAAGCGAAAACGTCGATTTGGGGTTTCCTCTGACTGGCGCATGCGCAGTTTTTTTAAAATATCGTTCTTGCGTTGCCGTCGCCGTTGTGCTTTCGGAAACTCGCTATTTTTCTAGTACGGACCTCAAATTCGGTTAATAAGTGATATATATATATATATTTATCACATACTTGTGCCTTTATCAGGGCGATAACAGGGTGACATAAAAACGATATCGTCACTGATATCGCTTTTTGTCACTGATATCGCTTTTTGTCACTGATATCGCTTTTTGTCCCGCTGCATTTGCCGCTGTCAAAACAAAGATGGCTGACTCGAGCAGTTCGAGGTTTGTTTCAGTCGATGTCGATTGCTTTATAGAAAAAAAGGAAGTATGTGATAAACAGGTTATCACAATCGGGACGAGGTGATATCAGTTTTATCGCTTTCAGGACGATATCATAAATGTCCCTCGTTCGCTGCGCTCACTCGTGACATTTATGATATCGTCCCTCAAGCGATAAAACTGATATCACCTCGCCCCTCATGTGATAACCTATATTTATATATATATATATATATATATATATATATATATATATATATATATATATATATATATATATATATATATCGTGAAATTCAGACTCGTGCTATTTCAAGGTCTTTGAAAACTCACTCCTGCATGTTCAAACTATGTACTAGAAACCATGCTATTACAAAGCGCATGCATATACGTACAAGAGAAATCAATCGGGCAGAGTAACGAACATATAAATATGCATCACCAAATTCTGGTGCTAGTTCTCGCCAGCGAACTTTCTTTTGACCATGACATTGTAGTGTGTCAGATTTTCCACATTTTTGGACCAGGAACTGGTCCCTAACCGCTGCTAATCTTCTTCTTCTTGTTGTTGTTAGGGGGCGACGCTCTTTTAAAAAACCCTAAGGCTCTAGCATTACTTGTTTGATCGGAATGAAACTTGGC